AAAAATAAGCATTATTACTTTATCACTACCGCCGCTAGAGACACAAACAACACACTTCAACTGGAAAAACAGGCGCGAAACAAAACGATCAAAGGCCATGCATTACTTATCACAAGTGCAATCACAGAGTTTTACTCCGTCTTCTCGTCACAAACGTTGTTCATGAGTCCCAATTTAGAAATGGGACCGTTATCCTGCCAGCGATTCATAAAAAATGAAGTGTTTATTCTGCCAGTGATTCGTCTGAACCTGTCTCCGCACCCCCTCTCCCCCCCCTCCCATTCTCGCCCGCCTAATCTTTGACCCGAAGGCGACTTCACACGCAAATGCACCATGCTCACGACATGTCATGTTGTCACTCCGAAGCCGTTTCATAAAAAAATCATCTCATTAAGGGTGAAAAGGAGACAACGAATCTAGAAATCGAGAGAAATGCAATAGATGGGAAAACAGGCACACCCAGATCACGGCTGCCCGATAGGTTTTCGGGCAGGCGTGATCTATGTGTTTCCCTTATTCGGTTGCAGGCGGGCATCGCCCGTTCCTGGAAAAAATGTCAAGGACGCAAGCGATAATGACGTTACTGATGTGCTCTCCTCCTCATCGAGCCTGATCTATCCCTGAATGATCCCTGAGCCTTCTCCTACAGCGGAGGATCGAATCCTGACTCAGGCAGCGCATTCACCTGTGCACCTYATTATCTACATTGCCGCTAATGAACTCCTCATCWTATTCTTSTGCAATGCAGATGCAAGACGACAAGCAAGGTCGTCGAAAAGAGCTTCGGCTTTATTACCCTCAAGAATATTCACTCCCCTAGGAGACGGAGAGGTTCGAGCAAATGTAAAGAAGTGTGCGCATGCATATGTATTCTACGCAACTCCGACGAATACATATAATGCTTCTTTTTCGGCAGACAACAGCCGGATTGTGGAAAGACTGTAAATGAAATGTAGAAACACTAAATGAAATGTGGAAACACTAAACGACGAGAGCTAAACGCGAATCGCGCCCCGCAAAGATGTTGGTGAACTAAGCGACTCCAGAGGACCATGAACTTCCTTAGTACAGCAACATCCTTGAGCGTTTGCCGGGACTGCTCGCAGGCACAGAGTGCGAGGAGGCAGGAGCGCGTGCCGGACGACTAGCCGGCGCAGAGCGCGAGGCGTGTGCGGAGGATTGCCCCGAGGATTGAGGGCCACGGCTGGTGGGTGGCGCGGTGGATGGCTCCGACCCGTCGTCGCCAAAACACGTGCTCAAGATCTTGTCGCCAGTTTCCGCCTCAACGGGAACGCTTTCCTCGAGAGGAATGAGCGTCACGGTCGGATCCGTGACTATCACCTTCTGGATGGGCAGCGCCTCCTGTCCGTCGTCGCCAGTGATACTGATCAAGCCGTTCACCTTAGCGACGGACATTGCCTTACCATTGGCCGAGTAGATCTTCCCTTCCTTGGTGACGTTGAGCAGAWCTTCCACGGATGTCACCCTCGGTGAGATGGGAACATTAAACTGAAGATACATCAAGAAGTCGGCGAAGACCGCCTTACCATTCTCGCTCTGCAGACACGGGAGCACACCGTTAGAGAGAGCGGCGGTGAGCGCTGCGTTAGTGGGAGCGAAAAGGAGTAACTGCGAGCCGTTGATCTGCGTGCGCCCCTCCACGTTCCAGATTTCCTTGGTGTTCAGCAGAGCCTCGTAGAACATGGAAAACTGCGTCTCGTTCTTCAGAATCTGGAACACCTTCGCGTCCTTGCCTGCTTGCGCCATCGCCGCGAGAGGGCCGCCGCCCAAGAAGAAGGACAAGGCCACAATGGCAGCAATCGACTCCAGCCGGCGGCATGAAAGAGCCGCCATAGCCCTCTTCATCTTCGTCGTCTGTCTATACTTCACGAACTTGTGCTGAGCTGCAGATGTCGGGCCACAGGGAGAAGTAGAAGACAATCAAGATAGTGAAAAAAGGGACGRAAAAGGAGGGGCAAAGAGAGAGATTGAGACTCTTAGAACAAGAGTAGAGCGGAGAGCTCGGAGGCGTTGCCCCCTACGATACACTCAGATAGTTCAGTCGTGACCTACGCACTCATTCGTCTGTCGACACGGGCTACAACTCGTTCTTCCAAGAGAGCATCCGTTCCTGGCTGCCTTCGTACGGCTCCTGCTTCTCCAGCTGCGCCTTACATCAAGCGCAAGCTACGATTGGCTTCTTATCGACTTAACAAACCCTGCTGCCCCTTCGCGCCTATGCGTTCGCGACCTTCGCTCCTTGCCTCCTTTCGCTGTCCAGAACCCAAGCATGCACTGGGCGGTGTGAACTCTATGAAAGCAGACAAACATGAGGACTTTTCTACATGTACCTGACGGCAATTCCGGGCTCCTGTGGATGTATCCGAACGCAATTATGCCCACAGCTCAGTCGAGAAAGTGCCCTTTGGCCGGGAGGGTCGGCAATACGAAAGCGCGGGAGAATTCATCGTCAGAACAGAGTATGAGCGCGAACGAGCCAGTTAATGAATTGCTCCGCCACCCTCCATTTTCCTGCTCCATTTTTTATTTTTTTTTGACGGCTCACAACTCCACTGGTGTAGGTAGGTAGGTAGTAATGGTGAATTTCAGAGAAGGGAAAAAAAAAGGGCCTCGCTCGACCACTCACCACATGTACAAAAGAAAAGAAAGTATGGCGGCGCATTTTTCCCTGTTCTAGCGGACGGTTCATTCCCATGTTGCACATTTGCTCAGCAGTGGAGAATAGAACAAAAAGACAAACGAGATCTTTTCCTGCGAAATACTATGGCGACCGCGGGAAAATGGGGTCGACGAAAGCCCTCCCCAAGCGCCTTTCCGCACTGCGA